TGAAGGTTAAATTTAGAGGATGTAGGATGGTTAGGATGGGTGCTAGAGATGGAGAAATGGGTTAGAAAGGGTACTGTATGTGAGGTACCGGGTCCTCGCAGAGGGTTTGGGCGTGTAAGTGCTTCCGGGTTGGGAGTGGGACTTTATATCTTTGGGGACATATGATGCTATTCACGACTCTGGGTTTCTTTCCTACAGTAAGTCGGTGATTGACTTCGTCACAGAGTACGAGCACCTTCTACAAGGTTCTACATTCGAGGCGGGACGTTGCGCTTCTCACCTGGACGCATCGGGACACGTAGGTCACGTGGTGTGGTGCGTATTACTCCGCACCGCAGGGCGAAGCTTCTGGTAACATAGGTCTCTAGGTTCGCAAATGTCGCAAGCCACATTACGGCATGTTGTTTGCCGGGTCTTCAAGCCCGGTAGGTAGGGTATCTATGTTCTCTCTCAAGGGCGCAATCCGGCTTGAGCGAGACAGTTTTTCGGGCTTGATCGGATTGCTAAAGAAAAGGAGCCGGAGTCATAATGACAGGCGGGAGGCCATGCATCGCGCTCCGCACCGGGCGAGGCCGGCCGGTCCCACTCCCGCCTCCTCCCGCTCCATGGACCCCCGCCCAGAGACGGCGCACCGGGTTAGAGATCGGGGGCACTGGATTTGAGGCGCGTGATCAAACTATCTTACCTAGATCATCCTGAGTGACAATCACTCCCACCCGCATTCTTCGTGCAGATGATGACATCAAAAAGTGCGAATACAAAAACAATCCCAAATCCGGTCATGGCTTGACGCTAGTGATAGCGCATCTCACTATGAGGAGGGCATTCCAACGGTCGAGATCCGGCTCAGGAATTGTCTGGCCTTGAAACCGCGAAAGGGCGAGAGTCAGGAATGCGACGGTCCTAACGATTGCTTCTCTTCATCGGCAGTGGGCTAGCTTACGCTTTTCTCTCACGGAGGCGGGAGAAAGTACCGTGCTTGCCCAGACGTGCCCAGCTTTGCCTGAATGCCCTCTTTCGGGCGTCGCAAGTTGGCTTAGGGCTGAGGTGCATTCAATAAAAGGCTTCTTGGTGTCGCTTTTCGTGTCGCAACCGAAGTATTAACCTGCAGGAAGCTGACAAGGTTGACTCGTGTAGACCACGGTGCAACACCCTTCCTCACCATCACTCGGGAGTCACTGAGTGACAGCAACGTTGTGCGAGAGCCCCGGCATCGTGGCACCACTACGCGCATGTGAAGCTTGCTCGCTAGCACTGCCTGCATTGTCGTAGGAAAAGGGCGGCAGCCCACACACTACCTGTGATGCAAAAGGGCGGTCTCGTGACACCAGATCTCGCAGTGAGCGCCATCGCTGTGCCACTTGACTGCAGGTAGCCGAAAAACCAGTGGTCCGTCCTCGGCCGTATTTGACCTGCTAGGCAAGCTGACTGCATCGTAGAGTTGCAGAGAAAAAGCAAACTCGTCAGCGGTTGTCAAGTGTGTAACAAGGACCACTGCCCAACATGCGTTTGCCAGGGCTGGATGTCTTTGAAAATGGCCTCAGTTAGATATGCGCGAGCCCACCTTTGAAGAGACTATTTCTGTCGCTTTTGAATTTGCTTTCATTGGCTCATGACGTTGCTTGTATGTATACGAACAGTGGCAGGTCAAGGGGCTTTTCGGCTTCAGATGTCCTGGCAGTCAATGCCTCCATAACTTGGGATCCACGGGTTACGACTCGTTGCGGAAGGGTATCGCTTGCTGGGTCGGTGACTATGGGTAATAGAGTTTGGTGTTGAAACTCTGACAAGGGACGCAAGCGATGGGGACCTTGCTGACGGCCGACCCGATGCGTCGGACGAGTCGTTCCTTGGGTCCAAAATTGGGTTGTGGCGGTGGTGAATGCAGAACATCGGATTATGCAGAGGCGAGGCGGAAGACTGCAAGCTGAAAGCCATTGCGAAGGCTGAGGTGCGCAATTGGGCTATCACATGAGAAGAGATGGTGTTTTCGCAAAGCTACGAGAAAGCCGATTTCGACTCCACGGCGTCTGTTCGGCTTCTGTCCGAAGTCTTGATTGGAGCAACTTGTCCAACGCGGATGACTTTTGGTTCACTGGGGGGCGGAGCTGAGGCCCAGCCCGCTTATTCGTGATGAGTCCTCACTTCAAGATGCGGTCCCCAGGTCCACGATATCCTCACATTCCGCGTACATGGGGGTGAGTCGTCATCGGCGTGGGAATGGATATCTCCAAGCGGTGTGAGCAGGGGTTGAAAGGCAACTGCCAGCGGGGGAGGATGTCTTGCGTTCCGTGATTGCGACATCACACACAGGATACTTCGTAAAGGAGTTGGTTTGGTCGGATCCGCTTCATCTGTGAAGTGAATTAACTCGCAATGCCAGTTGGAGGTGGCAACAGGTTTCCGACTGCAAGTCAAGATGGGTCAACCGGACAGATTATTGATTCGAATTTTCCAGCTGGATTATGAGTATGCTCTCGCTTGGCAGCTAGTGTCGCTCCTTCGTGTGGTTCTGGAAGGGCCGAGGACACAAAAGATCTTTTTGTGCATGATGTATCGTCACTTCGGGGGGATCTCCAACGTCTCTACTCCGTACCCCTGGCTGACTCCCAGAGCAGCACAGACTAGAGGATGTGGCATGGTAAGATTTAAGTGGCCGCTTTGACGCCAGGCCGACGGTAGTGCTAGACGGCGGACTGCGGTGAAAAGGAGACGGAAGAGAGACGGACTGGTGCCAGGTGGATGGCATAGGTGTGGGCGAAAGCTGGAGGATACAAAGTTGGCGGCAGCGGCTGGTGCCAAGTCAGGCGGTCCCCATGAACCGTTTCCACGTTCCTTGCAGTGGCCGTGTCATTCGGTACGTACCGGCGGAGAGCTGCGAACTGTGCAATCAGCGGTGCCTATTTCCAGATCCCCGTTAAGGTAATTAATTAGCTTAAACGCTCTCTTGTCAGTGAATGGAACATGCTGTAGCATAACGTCGCATCATCTGAGCCATGTGTGGGCTCATCGGAGCGAGACACCATCAACGATGACTGCTGGAAATTGGATTAGAATGAGCGTTCATGTCAGCACGGCGGATTTGTTGACCATCCATACGGAGAGATGGCCGGGGAAATTCCCTCGAGGGGCGAGACCGCATGAGTATGGAGGTATGTGGGTGAAGCTATGTGCCTTTCCCTGTGAGGGTTGATTTTGCGGTTGGGACTTGGAACTGCTGGCCGCAACGCCGCCTAAGTTCTTCCAGTTTGTCTTCGTTGGAGGTCAAGTCAATGCCCCGCCTCGAAGCATCTCTTCCTCGATGTAGCTTGGCTAGCACGCCACGTCCGAAACTTGGCTCTTGTTGGCGGCCTAGGCTAGGCTGGCCTTGTGCGTGAGGTGGCACTCGAGGCTTGATATTTGTTTCCAAGTTTCTACTCCGTAGAGCTTAGGTTCCGCCCTATCCCGGCTGTTGGGGAACGTAGCCATGCCGTTTCGAGGCCTCGCTCGAGATGGGTAAGTATCCGTAACATGGGGGTGTTTGGATGTGGGTGTGAGCAAGAGTTGCAAGACGAAGCGAATTCGAATCGTCGAAAGCTTTGGTTGCCTCGACAGGTGGTACTGTTGCCTTGAGGCGAACCACTGGACTAAGAAAAAAAAAGTGTCCGCCTGCGAATGGGATTGGGAACACCTTCGGAGGTAAGTGGGTTGCGGGAGATCTCGACGTCTCGACAAACCCCTGAAATGGGACGAGTGGATAACCTGGGAGGTACTGCGCGGGCCGCTTCATTGGGTGAAATGGCAGTCCACTGAGCAAGAAGCGGAAAGCGCGTTGGCTCAGCCCTGTTCGGTTGTGATATGTTCCTTGCACTGGGTGGGAAAGTTAGTTTGCAATTGGGAGAAGTATCCGCACCGCATCGTGGTACCCAGTGGCACTCCTCTTGCAGAAGACGCCAATAGTGTATGTAATGCCGTCAGGCTGCAGCTCCACGAAGTTGGCGGTGGGAAATCTACGCGCTTCACACCGCAGTCAGACGGATGGAGATGGAAAAAGCCTGGACAGCTTCAACTGAGGTTGGGTGGTCACTGGTGCTTCCTCGAGGTGCAGGTACGTACCCGTCTTACATGAGTGGAGAGATGGAGTCGGGAAGGAGGTGCCTGCCTCTAGGCCCTAGGTACCTGCGCCAGGGAAATTCAATGGTCCACATCCCCTGGCTCATGTGGTCCCACCCAATCAGAACGGGGTAATCTCGTCTTTAATTTCCACACCCATGTCTGCGCTGTCGGCGGCGCAGTTGACAATTGCGACGATGGCATGCACAACTTCACCAGACGGCGGGAACATTGCGCCCAACTTCGCTGCGCTTCCCCCTTCTGTGCCTCACTTCATCACAGCCTGTGCCTGTGCCTCTCCAGGTTTTCACTCCCTCCCAATGTGATGCCCATGAGGCCATCCTGTGTGCCTTGTCCAATGGGGTCAGGATCCCCCCCCCCTCTCTGTACCCGTAGAACCTGGTATTTTCTCTGAACGTCAATGTCAATGGGACCCCCCCCCCCCAAAACCATGGAAGAGGAGGAAGCCACGGGCCATTGCCTTGCAACCCCCTTGCCGCGCGCCCGGAGCACTCACCTCAAGGCTCTCACCCTCACCCTCGGGGTGCTGGGTGCTGGGCTAGCAGGGGTCATGCTCACCTCACCTCCTCTTCTTTTCCTATCCCTTCTGTCGTCGTCTGCTCTTTCCTTCTCTTTCCTCTTTCCCTCCTTACCATCAACCCAAGTCCCAGTCACTTTACCCCGTGCCGTTGTGCGTCTCATCATCTGGCTTCAGCCTGTCACTCTTTTAAATATAGTCACTCATTAACCCGTCACAAAGACACTTCACTCTCCCTTTTTCCAAAAACCTTCTCACTTTCTACCTTCCAGTCGCTCGTTCCTGGACTTTTTCCGTCTTTTTTATTTTAGACCTAACTTCTAATCAACAACCTCTCCAACACCCAACGACCTCGTCGACTCAATTCAAAATGCAGTTCAAGATCTCCGCCGCTGCCTTCCTGGCCTTCGCTGCCTCCGCCCTGGCCCAGAACGCCAACTTCGACCCCGTCACGAAGCCCACCCCCAACGAGCAGATCAACGCTGGCACCTCCTACACCATCGAGTGGACTGCCCCCGATGCCTTCAAGGACGTCACCGTCTCCATCAGCCTGATCGGTGGTGCTACCCAGAACACCCAGGTTCCTCTCCTGGACATTGCCTGTAAGCATACAAATCTCCTGGCTATACGGGTCGAGACGGACATATCTCCCATCCTCCCGACGGCCAACTCGCGATGAGATGAGGAAGGAGAACTAACTCGCTCTCAGCCGGCATCGCCAACTCTGCTGGAAAGTACACCTGGACCATTCCCAGCACTCTCGGCAAGGACGCCTTCTACGGCCTGGTTGTCAAGTCTGAGTCCAACCCTACCGTCGACTTCCAGTACTCCAACCCCTTCCACATCATTGCTGGTGAGGGCGCTGCCTCTGGCACCACCACCGTCGTCTCCTCTTCCGCCACTGCTACCGTCACCCTGTCCGCTGCCAGCGTTTCGGTCACTCCTACCGCCTCTGCCTCCGTCTCGGCTTCTGCTTCTGCTTCTGCCTCTGTCACCAAGTCTGAGAGCGTCATTGTCAACTCCACCACCGCTCTTTCCACCACTGCCGTCCCGACCCCTGCTACCCTGAGCGCTTCTGCCTCCACCATCACCAGCGTCACCCGCCCTGCCACTAACAGCACCGGCACTGCTACCCGCTCTGCTATTGCCACCGTCACTGGTGTTGCTGCTGGTGCCCAGGCCACCGCAGGTGTCTTTGCTGTCCTCGGTGGTCTCGCCGTTGCTGCCCTTCTCTAAGCAACCCTTGTTGCAGCATTTACTCGGATTCACTACATCTGTTAAAACTGCATTGGGCTTGGTTTTGGGTTTCAACGTGCATATTTGGTCATGAATGGATAAAAAGACGGGTGACACGGCTTCAAGGCTAATGGACTCGGAACATCCGTGTCATTACCACCTTGAGGAAATAGGTTCCCCCGCACATGGCGTTTTCCTGTGTTTTCGATACCAGTGTCCCCGTGGACGTGGGTGATCACGAGGGACGGGTTGATACCTTTCTAGTTGATAATGTGAGAGAGAGAACGATTCAGTCTGTTTCTAAAGAAATAAAGAAAACAACTTTTTACAATACTTTGCGTCTTTTTGCCCATGGTTCAACTGAATTTCCGTGACATGTCGATCACCTTGGGGTAAGCAAGGTGAGATAGGTGCGATGCCGATCAGATAACCTTGCAGCTGTCATGGGACGGCCGCAGCTTGTCTGACGTGAACAGGTGGGATTTTCAGGCACAACCGCCCTACCACGCCTCGGTCCCAGCACACTGTTTCGGCTGAGTCCTTTCTGTTGACCAAGATGCATGGGTCTGCAACCACAACAACGATCCTGCAGCTTGGCAGCTACAACTCCATCAATGAAGCTAGGTGACGTTTTGTTACTTTGTTTTCACTGTGTATCAAATTACACCTGCCCATTCAATTTCAACAACGGTCTCTTTGTTCGTTCTAATTCCGCATTGTTTGGGCAATTTACAAAGGGCCGCCGATCAAAGCCCACAAAGCAAAAAGCCCCCGGCCGTCAACGGCTACGATTTCCCGGCCCGGTCGGACTCGGCTTCTGGAAGTAAGCGGTGGCGATCGGGTCTGGCTCCAACGACCAACGACAAACGAACGCCAGGTGGTTCAGGGCCCCCCTCTACCTTCCCCACGGTAATCTTCGATACTCTTCAACGGCAACACGAAATCGAAATCGAGAGAGAACAGCTGCTGGCCTGGCCGCGCCAAGACTAGGTTTTTTCTTAACCCAGGAAGGGAGGGAGGGGAGGCCTTTGCAGAATAAGAAACCTGACACGAACTGGCTCATGACTCGGCCGATTAGATTGCAACTCCAGTTTTTCTGGAGACGGTTGGAAACTCTGTAGGAGTCCGACGGCCCGGGATCAGACTTATTGAAACCTTCCAAGAGTACTCCGTTGCTGAGGGCGAGGTAATGCAGCGTTGCTTGCTTTTCTTCCTACCTGTGTGTTTTGCTGTCATGGACTAACCGTTCTGCCATTCTTCAATTTATCCTGGCGGCCCTTGTTTCGGATTCTGTCACCACACCCCTCGGATACCGATACGGCAGCATCTCTGCCCTCTTGGGACCGGCCAACTCCGGCGGTTCCGGATTTGCACGCAGCTATATGTAGAGATTGAGCGTCTCCATCGCCAGATGTGATCGGCGATGACAGAGCAGTTGCAAAATACAAGGCCTCGGGTTCTTCACGGGTATCCAATACGGTTACGGGAAAAGCGGCGCTGATGAGAAGAAAAAAAATCATCCCCAATATAAAGGAAATCAAGGGAAAAGTGCAAGCGCGTCTGCGTGTGTAATGTATTATACTTTCGGCTTCCTCATCTCGGGAGGAACGTTGTGGGAGTATGCGCGGCCTTCCGGCGCGGCAGGACCGACTACCGCAACCCCCCCCCCCCCAATGGTGACATCGTTGCCCGGGTTTGATGGTCCTTTCACTCGCGCCAGCAATAGCGTCTCACGGTCTCAGTTTGGAACATTGCGGGAGGGGGCCATTTAGTTCCCAGTTCCTTTGGAGGGGTCGACCTTGTTTGAAGGCTGCGAGTGCGGTATTGCGGTCCTATAGTGAAGTCCTGGTCAATGCCCGTCGAGCCAGTCTGGTCAGCTGAGAGCGTGCGATTATGTCCAGCTGAGAGTCAGGCGAAGGGGAATATTCTCTCTGAATCCGGGTCCGGGGCGCTAGGTGGTCGTTGGTGGGCAGTAGGCGCGCGTCTGCTGGGCCCCCCTTGATCGCGAGAGACGCACTGAGCGTCCGTTTCGATTGGGACTGACACGGTTCTGAATCCGGCATGCCTTTGTTTGCTGAATTATTGATGGTGAAAGTCAAGGGGCCTAGGGGGGGAGAGATGTCAAACCTGGCTGGAACTCGGGTGTGGCTGCGGCAGGAGCAGGACAACGGCGAACTGCTGCAACGGACCTGGGCCGTGTTGATGGAAGAATTCCGTGGATAGTTGTGCTCCTTGAAACGGAGCATACGGGCATGGCATGACTCTCTTCGTTCCACTGTGATGCCTGTGCTTGGGGATGCGGTTGCTTGTGTGAAGAAGGGTGTGCTCTTGATAGGCGCATGTTTAGGCATTCAGCCCGTCTTGAGAATATGCTGATCGATCCATCAGCAAAGTCGCCACTACGCGTGCCAAACTAAACGTCAAACTTATTTGCTAAACGTTCGTATGTCGTGGTGCTCCCCTAGTACTGTCTCTGGCTCTTCTTCGAGCTATTCTCATAGGTTGACCTGGCATATCTGACCCGGTCTCTACAAGTATCTGCATGAAGGGTATGAATAGCAGAGCCTCCCAACTTTATAGCTATGTTTCTCGCTGTCGGCCTTCTCGGGATGTGTATAACCACACCATCAACGGATGGATATCTCTAACGGAGTCAAAAGCTGGACACTCGTCAACTACTGGCAGCTAAGAGTGGCCCTGTTCAGTGTTTGCGTTTGATAGAAAGAACTCACGAGAGTGAATCGACTCGCTTCTGTCTGTACCCTAGTACACGCAGGTTTAGATTTCAGGCTACTGAATCACTAAGTCCTCGCGGTCGTGTACGTTGTAGTAGCGAAGTCTGGCATCCCCGCAATCCTCCTTTGTTTTCGATAATTGCTAGGACGAAATATCTCAACACAAATGTTGGTATAGCAATAGGGTTGAGAGATCATCGAATGTCTACTCGCCCGATTTAACTTACTACGCGTGGAACCTCCCCTGGCCAATTTGCTGTGACGAGATGAAATAGCGACATTGACAGACGATTTGGCCTTCTAGTCATGGTTTCACAGCCCATTTATCCGAGAGATATGTGATGTTTACTTTGAAGCTGATGAGAGTCTGATTCATACGTCTTTAACGACGTCGCTTTCAGTCCTAATAAGCAGGTCGTCTGACAGGCTACCGAGGACTCATACCGACCCAAGTACGGCAATGGAGTAAACAGAAAGCTGGCATGGCTTCTACTTACATCAATTTACATAATTCAACATGATACTAGACTATAGCGTCTAGAAGTATCGAAAAAGGGCAAACAGAGTTCCTCGCCTTCCACAAGCCTAGCCCTCGGGACGAGTGGGTCTGAAAGCTTCAATGAATCCTCACCTTCTACAACTATCATCAGCTCACCGTCAGACAGAACCCGACAGTTTCTCAAAGAACCGAGATGAGCTATCATGAGTGATGTTTCAAAGTCGAGGACTCTGATACATGCAGTACGAGTAGCGAGTCTCAATCAGACGCAAGTCGAGCAACATAAGTACACACTCGCGCATTGGCACATCAAATTAACTCAGGCACCACTCAACGAGACCACGAGCGCTGTCAAAATCATCCACAACGCAAATACGGAGAGGATTTGACTAGAACATCAGATGTCACGATAGCAACCATAGAGGACGATCAATGTCAGGAAAGAGGTGCCAGTGACGCTTCGAGTGACATCGACATGGACCCACCGAATAAGCTCATGCTTCAACTAACACATCCCAGCCCGTGATGGGGACCTGCCCAAAAATCGCCAAAGCCCTAACCGCACACATACAGCGGCCGTGAATCGAGCCGGGTCGCCTCGCGGGAGGAATGACTAACTAAAAGGCAAGTTCAGAGTTCCTCGGTCCTCAAGGAGTGTAAGAAGTAAGATGCGAGATTTTTTTTTTAAAAAAAAAAAGAACGATTGCGTCAATCGCTGACGGGAATTGAGCCCGACGTGGCTGGTTATTGTTAGTGATGATGTTCGTGATGTCTCTGATGAGGTAGGTGAAGCTTACGGGTCGAACCCACAACCTTGAGATTAAGAGTCTCACGCTCTACCGATTGAGCTAGCCGGGCGGATGGAATCCTGCCTGATGGTTGGTGACGGGTCGAGGGCTGCGAGTGGTTATGGATGAAGTGCACAGTAGGGGGGACTCCATAGTCTTGAGCGGGCCCCTCGTAGCGATTTGAAGGGTGTGTACATCACAGAACGCAGTCTCGAGACACTGAGGGCTCTGATGCATAAGGAGCTTTTAAGAGCCCGGAGGTAGCAAGATGAGGCGGAGGTTGGTTCACCGAATACATATGAGACAAGTATAACGAGGGTATCTAGTCGTACACAGGCAGGCTCTTACATGCTGCTATGAACATGCCTTGTTCGTGAAAGTAACGGGATTGGGAGGGCCATGAGACTGTCCCAGATCAACACACGTCATGTGTATAGATGAGTTGATCGGGATCGTATGCTTCTTACTTGTCTAAGCTTCATGCAGCCCTTTGTGGCCATTGCCATCTCCTGTCTCAAGTCGGGAACACACTGGTCCACTGAGTGTTACTCTAGCGAGGCAAGAAAATGTTCTGCTGGTAAGCACTGGTAGAGGTCAGTAAGACGGTAACCACCATCAGATACAACTTCGGGGGCAGGAACACTTCGTCCAGCATGTGAGCGGTTCCATAGGGCGAGAGACCATCTGATTTATAAGTTGAGAGACAACGACCAATGCCTCTATCAAAGTATCACAATAGCCCTCTTGTTGAATGAAGAGTTCAATTTTGTGCGTATCTTTTTGCCCTGCGAGGTGCATTCCTCTAGATGGGATGGCCAGGCGTGGATTTCGTCTCGCTACCTGGGCCTTCGAGGGTGGCATTGGAACAGCCCCAATGTCGATATGGACGATCGGTCCCCTGCACAGGTTGAACCCGTCAACTATCGTAGGCTTACCAAAGGTGTGTAAATGGACGTTACTTACTTTTAATCCAGGGAGTACTGGAATTTGCCAGCCTGCCTCATGATCCACTACGCATCCAACTTCTGTTCTGCAGGTTCGAGGACAAGAAGCCGGAGGACTCTTCTACGGAAACAGATACCTCGACCAAACTTCGCATTGGTGTAATTCCTATTGGGCGAAGGGACTGGCCTCGAAGCCAAAACCTAGCGTCCTCAAAGCTGATGTCGAAGGCGTAGCCGTTGCATGTTGCTGGAGAGTCTCACTCGCCAAGAAATGATGGGCACCTGCCCACATTCAACCAGGCGAAGTGAGCAATTTCCGCAGAAAACCAAAATATAAACCACGAGCAGGCGATTCTGATTTAGTTGGGTGTCTCCAGCCGTTGTTGTCTCGGGCGCAAGAAGTGAAGCGGCGCAGCTTAGACAACACTGGGGGCACTGAGTACCTCGTATTGTATGTTAACGTGAGAGCAAACTCGTAGCCGAGGTTTCGGGGGACTTGGACATTGTTGTACGAGTCTCAACGGAAATGCCGATCCGACGACATTGGACGAAAGCTGTTTTCGTTGGACTGTGAAGCTGGCGAGTGGTTGCCTTCCTCTGAGGCATCCTTTCCATCGCTCTGCTAACTGGGTCAGATGTGCATGTCAGCGAAATCCCAGGTCACACAATTATGAGAAATCCTCTCCGTACCATGTGGCATGTCCTCAATCTAATTGGTAGCCTGGGGCACCATTTTCTCAGTGATTGCCCGAAATCGCAAGTACATCACGGGTGGCAATTTCAGCGTTGGGCTTGAAAAGCTCCACTGGACACAACTTGTTGCTCGAGGACGAGGCTTAGATATGACAACAATTCTAGGGCAGAGATTGCTCTCATCACACCGTTTCAAGTAACTCCGCCCTGGTAGAAACGAAAGATATCTATGTAGCTGCTACGCGAGGCCATCCGAAGGTTTATCGGATTTCTGAACCGAGATCGGGCGCAATAGTTTCCTCATGTGTAAAGATATAGATGTCGACGTTAACCGGAGATGCAGAATCCGATCCACTTACTGAGGCGAGGGAGGCAATTATGTGCCCACTGCCGGCCAGTTTGTGTAGTTCCGGACCACCAAGGTTTACTTCCTAAACCCCACGTCCTCTGGCGTAATACTCTCAGGCATGACAAGCCCAAAACTTCAGCTGCTTCGTCACGATGGCGCCAGATAAGGAGGCCTGGACCCGGCCAGTAGATGCCTCAGCTTTCAATGCTGTGATCGGGGCTTGTCATGCTTGGCCGAACAGAAGGGTGTCCTCTTCTGAAGACTGGGATCTAAAGAAGGCCGGCCCGAGGCCGTAGTTAGGCAAAATACCTAGACACAGTTCCTTGCTGCCACTCAGAATGACAAGAGAAGCATGAAGTTAACTGATCATTGCGGGCGGACCTCTTGACCCGGGAACAGCAATCATGCTCATGTGAAATGCTGACCTTTTGCTATCTACCTAGGGTTGAGACGGAAACGACCTGGAACACTTCGGCGATAGTCTGATAAGAGAACACACGGCGGAATACTTTTGCTCAGCACTACATATGTGTCACATTTCCTGCGCACTGAATGTGCTACACATGCTCAGCGCCTGCTTCCAGGTTGTACCCATGATGCAATCACTTGCATCCAAACGGCTGCGAAGCAAAGAAATCCTCGTACAGTATTTGTTCACTGCATTCATCTCATGTTCAGGAGAATTCGAAATCTCCCTGCAGCCGCAACTGGGCGCATGGGTCGTTGAGTATTCTGAGGGTTGGCGACTGGATGTTGGTTGTGCCGTTATCTTGGATTGGACAACTCCGCGGAGGTTGACTTACACGTGTGGAATAGGCAAAGGGGTCCGCATTGCCGCGTTTAGTGGAGGCTGAAAGGGCCGTTCAAAACGCCCGCAACCCACGGCCGCTGTGCCGGATCCATACACGACAGATGCGGTAGCGCCAGTTTGTGCGATGCTTCTAGTGTTGACATTTCAGCCACAAGTCCGAAGTTGAAAGACATGGGATTTTGAAGTTGGAATCGAGCAGCAAACAAAGTCCAGACCTTCGGGGCGCCGGGTGTGGAAGGCAGGGAATGGAAGCCGGCAAACCGGGGGTATGCACGTCGCGACGGGAGACGGGAAGACTGGAAGACCTGAACCAGACAAATGGGACCGATGTGGGGGTCTAGATAGCTGACATAATACACGAGAACCCCTTGTTAGTGGATCTGCTGCGGCTAGGGCCTTTCGTTGTCTCTTTATCTTATCTCAACTCAACCTCCCCCTCCGAATGCAGCGTAGCAACCTAAAACTCCCTAGTCATCCTCATTTTTCATCATCAGCTCTTCTGCCCCATTATGCTTCTCCCGTCACACCTGGGGAGCATCACGGCCAACAAAACGTGGGGAAAAAGAGTGTCAGGGAGAGCCGGCGGAGGGTACCACAACCTTGCCTCACTTACGGGGTCCCGGACTATACCAACCCGTTTATTCCTGGCCAGTCTTCGAGGAACAGCAAGCGGCACGCGGTCCATGACCAGGGTCAGCGTTGTGTCAATTCCTCTACGACGTCAAATAATGGCAAAGTATGACACTACTGTTCCACGACGTTGGCCACGCTTTTTGATGACCGTCAGCTAGCGCAGACGGCACTATCATCAAGGAAGACACTGCCGTCGGGTGCCAATTGGGCGGGTCTCGTCCATATCAAAGACCGGTCCCGAGTCCCTAGTCTAGTTTGTTCTAGGGAGCCAAGCCAGTGCTTGAAGTTAAATCGTCGCCGGCCAAGACTCCCAACATCTTTCACCTTTACAAAACATCGCTCACCTGGTATCCGTACCCTTCAATCGCCAACAACATAGAAGAGCACCATTACAGACTTCAAAGTCAGTTGGTTCCAAATCATCGCTACAAGCTTGACGTACATGCCGTCAATGGTCGAATGAGCCCCGCGGAGATCGACGCCAACGATTAAGCATTCGCCAGTCAGATACCAGAGTCAATTCCTTATCTCTTGGACGCCAGGGGTGGGGCCTGGCCTCGACCGTCACAACTGCATCTTGAGCGCCAGACGTGAGCCTACCAAAGATAAGCAATAAGCTCAGAAGCCTCCGTTTCGTCGTATTGTTCCCCGTTTCCTTTGCCCCCTTGTCCAATCACTTTCCTTCTAAAGCACTTTACTGAGTGTCTTAGAAAGGCAAGGACCGTCAAGATAAGGCATATGAACCTAGCGTCAGAGGCCACCCTTCTTGGCTCATCACATCACTGTGCTTCGCTACCTAGGTATTGCACTGGAGGTCGCAACAGCGTGGTTTTAAGCCTCTGATTACACCCAAGCCGGCTCCCAGTCGACGAAGAACATATTTGCAGCTAGTCCAAAGGGCCCAGGGGAGCAGCACCTACAACGCTGTTGGCTTTCATCTCAGCATTCCTCTCGGCTCTGGAGGAGACTCGACTGGGTCTTGTCACAATCGTGACTTTCTCTCGCTCACTTCGGATTGAGCCTTCAAACAATAATCTGCAGCTTCAGATCTGTCACTCATTCGAGCTCCTCCTTGGCTTCCAGTTACTATTCTTCGCGAGTCACATTTGATCGAGTATTAGAGACACAACGTGCAGCACCGGCACTCTCATTCGAGACATCACCCTAGTGCCTCGGCCTACCCACGCTACAGGAAAGATTGTGTCATCTCCGTCTTTCTCCCGTCTGTAGATTCTTATCTGGGAGATCGACCAGCAAGCCCGCTGTCCAGTATCAAGTCTACCACGCAGTTGGTGTGGTCCGGTCCCTTTACGCCTCTTGGCCGCCTCCCATCCCGTCAGCGCGTCTCCGTCACCCTCGCATTTGTGGCCCCTTCATCCTTGTATCCCCGCGGCAGGGCAGGGGATTTTTGCAACAGAATCAATCCGGTTTAGCGTCTTGTTGTTCCGGAGATGCATCAACCGCCTTCGATCTTCAAGAACCATATGTCTATACGTTGCAAGCATTCATATAAGACTGTCCTCCTTTGAGGCTTCCCGGTAGCCATTGTTGTAGATGCCATCATCCGGACGCTCGACAACATCAACAACCAGGTTCTTCTAACAAGGCTCGAGCTTCGGCATCCTTGCCTACGTGGATCATCATCGGCGACTAACACGAATCCTCGACATTGACCGACACCTTAACTAAACGAGACCGAGAATCACGAGCAAGCAGTGCAAAAGCTATCGTAATGCAGCTTTCCGTTCTCTGGAGGGCACCCGAGGTGAACCCTATCAACCGCAAGGCTCGCAGTATCCCTGTGTTCAACATCTTCAATGTCTACGCACGAGCCTTCCACTTCTCGTGGCTTGGCTTCATGATTGCTGTACGTACAAGTCTTGACGACTTCTCCCGTAATCGTAAACTGACGTGGCGATAGTTTTGGGCCTGGTACACCTTCCCGCCCCTTTTGACGGTCACGATCAAGAAGGACCTCAACCTTACCACGGCTCAAGTCGCAAACTCCAACATTGTCTCCCTGGTCGCAACACTCTTCATGCGGCTTATTGCCGGGCCCGCCTGCGATAGATTCGGTTCACGTATCGTTTTTGGCTCGCTGCTTCTTATCGGCACTATTCCCATTGGCCTTGCACCGCTGGTCAAGAATGCCACAGGCTTATACATCTCCCGCTTCTTCATCGGTGTTCTTGGCGCCACTTTTGTACCTTGCCAAGTGTGGTGCACCGGATTCTTCGACAAGAACGTTGTTGGAACCGCCAATGCCTTGGCTGGCGGTTGGGGTAACGCAGGTGGCGGAATCACCTACTTCGTTATGCCTGCAGTCTACGACTCTTTCGTCCACGCACGTGGGTACTCCCCTGGTCAAGCTTGGCGGTTGACCTTCATCGTACCCGTCATCTGCCTTTTCTGCTGCGGCATGGGTCTTCTCCTCCTCTGCGAAGATACACCGACGGGCAAATGGGCAGACCGCCACCTCCATGCCAAGGAGAATCTCCACTCTCACGGTGTTGATGCTGTTGTGCGATCCGATGTGGTCGATGTTCCCGGCGGCATCACTGACCGCAACACGGGCTCAATGGCATCTGACGAAGAAAAGAACAGCACCCATGGCAAGAACGGCGTTGTCTCCGACCACGAGGCCAGCCTCTCCCGGACCGAGATGATTGAGACGGCACAAGCCGACACTGTCGTTAGCCCGTCCTTCAAGGAGGCCATGCAGGTCGTCACCTCTCCTCAAACAATCTTCCATGTAGCCACCTACGGCTGCTCTTTCGGCGGCGAGCTGGCAATCAACGCTATCCTCTCTTCCTACTACCTGAAGAACTTCCCCTCCCTTGGCCAGACTGGTGCCAGCAACTGGGCTGCTATGTTTGGTTTCCTCAATGTCGTCACCCGCCCCGCCGGTGGTGTCGTGTCTGATCTGCTATACCGCTACGGCGGACAGAACCTCTGGCTTAAGAAGGGCTGGATCACGACTTGCGGCGTTCTCACCGGCGCTCTCCTGATTCTCATTGGTCAACTCAATCCTCACAACGAATCGACCATGTTTGGTCTCGTCTTCTTGATGGCTGTCTTCCACGAGGCAGGTAACGGCGCCAACTTTGGTCTCATCCCGCATGTTCACGGCTATGCCAACGGTATCGTGTCTGGTGTCACCGGCGCCGGTGGAAACCTTGGCGGTGTCATTTTTGCCATCATCTTCCGCTTTATGGACCAGGGCACGAACTATGCAAAAGGCTTTTGGGTTATTGGCTGCATTCACATTGCAGTCAACCTGTTGGTCTCCTGGATTCATCCACTCCCCAAGGCTCAGCGCCAATAGGCGCAGGACGTTCACAAATATTAATGACTTTCTGGTTACGATTGGTTTCTTGTCTCATAGCTCGCTTTTTTGAATAGGGTTCGAGCCCAGTAGACTGGCTTCTGGGGGGTCTGTCTGGAGTATGGAACGGGCAAAAATGATATCCACTGTTAGCATTCTTGGTAAATAATTTCATGTTACGCAATCTAAGCTCCATCTACAATTGCTCATAAATCTTCCCCCGTGAGTTCCAACAACAATTGGTCCGACAGTGACATTGATTGAGTACCGAAACCTGCAGGTCATACAGGACTCCGTGATTCAACCTTACCTACGGCATCATGGATCTTTGCCCGCACCTTCTCGAAGTGCCGGATTTGCGGCTGTCCCGCCCTTCCTTCCGCCTCCACATTGATCTTCGGAACTGCCATTAAAAATCGGAAAGATAAGAAGGACATTGCTTCGTCCGGGGAAGCCCCACGCTGCCTAAGGTAGGTACATGGCATGGAGTGCATGGGCTAGCCGATCGTCCTGCGCGAGCGCTACAGGGATTGTGTGTAAAGTGCTGTCTTCACACATCTGACAAGGACGTTGCAGGAGAACTGTGTTATTATTGTTGCTGGAGGTCTTTCTGCAGTCATTCTCTCTACACAAACGTAGCAACCTGTATAATTTTGAGAGAATGGAGCTGGGTGAAAGAACCGACGCTTCCAGTCACTCACAGTCGGAAGGGGATGCTAATCACTTCGTGTACATATGAGGATAGATTCACATACATTCTCCCAAACGAGAATTCATCTTGTAGAACCTCTATACTGTAAGGTCCCGTGAATGCTTGTCAATGAGTAGCTGAATCGAAGCGCGAAGTCTAAGGTAAGGTAATCATGCTCAAACAGCAAGCTTATCGTCGTGCATACAATGTAAAGCATCGGGTGAAGAGTGGTTGCAATTGGCTGCATGAGAAGTGGTTGTCGAGAAGTGGCACCCGAAACTGAGCGCCAGATCACGTGAAGACGAGATGCGGCGTGTGAGAATGACTAAGCCGAGACGCGACAACACGCTAGCTAAAGTGTGTGGGGGAGCAAACGCGGTTGGCACCTTCAACGTGATGGTCTGGGTGTAAACACCAACGACCAATCTTGCAACGACCTCCAAAGAGCCTCAACTGTGCCTAGACACGTCTCCCAATGACGTTCGGAACACCCCAGGTACATTGCCTGCAGTCGGATAAATGACTCGAAACAACCTTGGGGGCCATCTCTCCTGGCTGTTAAGCAACGTCGCGCTATCTAAACCCACCGATCTCGCCTTTCCACCAGCCCGCGACCCCTCCGGTGTCGAGTCTTCGCAGTCTCAGAGCCGTTTCGGTAGCTCGAGCTCCCAACAAGAGCTTCCGACCCGTCCAAATCCTCAATCAATACCTGGCCGAACGCATGCTGAACCTGCACTCCATGCCCCGGATGCGGTGGAACAGCCACGGGACTCTAGGGTGGCAATAACGGGAAACTCAGCGTCCATGGCGAGATTGACATCTTCCACGAAGCCTAGAAAGCCCTCGTTGACAGTGAAACAGCAACCGCAGCCGCAGCAACTGTTGACACCGTCTTCGACAACGAGTGGTGGCAGATTCCAGCAAGCTTACACGGCCAAGCTTCAGCAGGAGGGTGAGTACACATTTGCTCTCTCTAACAGCACAGTGACTGACCTTCTGTCTGTAGATGCACAGAACGAGCGGAATAGAGCTGCCCCGTCATCATCACAGGAAGGAAGACGGAAGCCGGCGCCGGCACCCACGCCAGATTTTCTCGACGACGACGATGACGAAATTCTCGACCTGACTGGCAACGATACCGTTTTGTCATCAGACTCAGTGGGATTTGACGATGGAGTCACTGTATGGAATGAGGAACATGCGTCAAGACCAGAGCCATTGAGCAAACGAGGTCAGAAGCGGAAGAGCACCGAGATGAGCAAAGCGGGCGACTTGAGCTCAGATTCGGACGAGTTTCCAGACATCTACAAGACGTTGGGAACACCTGCGCCGAAGGGTAGTCGCTCGGTTAAGGGACCGAGGACCATTCCCTCCAGTATTCGTCGAGCAACTACCGATAAAGGGGTCATTGAAGAGCGGACCATCACACAAACAATTAGTCGGACCCAGCGCACCTACAAAATTTCCGAAGACTCTAGTGGGAACGGCACACCGCGACGATTGCCAATGGCTTCGGGAGGTCAGCAGATTCTTGGCCGGACACCAAGCAAGGCGTTGCGGATCTCGTCAAGTCCGGAAGTGAACACCAGAGTCGGGTCACTAGATCTTCAAGCAAAGAAGCAACGCAACAGACCTCGAGTAATACAAGATACGGATGACGAGTTCGATGACGGGGATATTGACGAAGAGCTCCTTGCCACGCCAAGTCGCCATACAGGCTCGACTATGCCGTTTACAAACTCTAGATCAAGACCTGCATCGATTCCTCCTGACGACACTATGTTATCTGACGGGCTTGTTGCTCCCGAAACACCCTCCAAGCCTGAGTCATCGGTGCTACAACCCGAAAACCACAACGCACCAGCTGAGACGAGCTATGCACCCTCGCCATCTCGGAACCAACCCACAAAATCCACGTCCCAGCAAAGCACCTCGTCACAAACACAAAAGTCTGCTGTGCTCAAGTTCATCCTGAATAATAGAGACTCCCTGAAGGCCAGGGAGAAGATGATTCAAGACCAGCGCGACCAAAACCTGAAGGACTATGCCAGGGTCTTACGAGAAGGCACCAAAGAAGATCGCGCCGAGCTGAAGAGCGCAAAGGAACTGCTGCTGAAACAACAGGCCGGGTTGGAGGAAGTTTCCGAGCTGCTTAGTGCACATGCAGCACTTGAAGATGAGAGAGAATCTCTTGCAATGCAGATTGCCGACGCATATGACCAAGGTCGCGATACTGAAGAGGAAGAGAATCGCTTAGATGAACTCGCCGATAAACTCAAAGATTTGGAGCAGTCCATCGATGAACTTCTTCCTGGTGTTGGTATAGTGGACGGAACCTTCATCGAAGAATACCGCAGATCCAAGTCTGTGGTCATGGGCACGCAACCTGGCCACAAAATCTCTTCCAGGGCATCCAGGGACATGCCAGGGCCCACGGAGATGGATAGTCAAGTCATTCATCAGACGCAATTCCCCGGGTCATCGAGGCTTACTGATCCAAGGGATCACTCTTCGCCGCCGTTTCCCCGGAGTCGACCGCCAGCTCCAAGGAGTGTGGAGCCCGTCGCACCAAGTGCCAAGTCTCGCAGACGCGATGAGTTCGAAGATGAATTCTTCGATGACATTGAAGACGATTACGGCACATTCAACCCTCCCCTGCCACCTGTATCAAGACCGACACCAATTCGGAAGAGTCCTCCTAAGAAAGTGGGCCCTCGCGCCCAGGACATGTCCAGCGACTACGGCGACGATGCGGACGCGGACATGCTTGCGCTTGCTCACGACTTCGAGCTCCGGCAGTCTTCATCTGCCGAAACAGCGAGAGGCCGTAGTGCACTTGCTTCGACATCGGGTAATGTTGTTCAGCCTTCAAAGACCGTTGAACCTCTAAAGAAGAGAGAGCCTTCTAAAGCGAAGTTGTCGATGCCACCGGAGTTGATGAAACATCCCTGGTCAGCAGACGTGAGGAAAGCTCTGAAAGACAGATTCAGGATGAGAGGGTTTCGCTCCAATCAGCTAGAAGCTATCAACGCTACTCTCGGAGGCAAAGATGCTTTCGTGTTGATGCCAACCGGAGGCGGCAAATCCCTTTGCTACCAACTTCCAGCTATTATCACTAGCGGAAAGACGAGAGGAATTACGATTGTCGTCTCTCCCTTGCTTAGTCTTATGCAAGACCAGGTGGATCACATGTCAGCTGTCAATATTCAAGCTGTTTCGCTCAACGGTGAGACGAGTCCTCAGAAGCGAAGCCAGATTTTCTCTTCTTTCAAAGAGAGGAGTCCAGAGCTCTACATTCAGTTGCTCTACGTCACGCCAGAGATGCTAAATAACAGCGACAACTTCATGAGGGCACTGACCAGTCTTTACTCCAACAAGCGCCTCGCACGTATCGTCATCGACGAGGCACATTGTGTTAGTCAATGGGGCCATGACTTTCGACCGGATTACAAGGCACTAGGAAAACTCCGCAATCATTTTCCCACTGTTCCCATTATCGCACTTACGGCGACAGCGACCCAGAACGTCATCGTCGACATCAAGCATAATCTAGGTATGGACAGCTGCCAGGTCTTCAGCCAGAGCTTCAATCGTCCGAACCTCACGTATGAGGTTCGACGGAAAGAGAAGGAGCTGATCCATAAGATCGCTGATTTGATTATGTCTAAGTACGACAGGCAGTGTGGAATTATCTACACATTGTCAAGAAAGACTGCAGAGCAAGTCGCCGAGAAGCTGCGTTCTCAGTATGGCGTCAAAGCAAGTCATTACCATGCGCAGATGACTCCTGAAGACAGAATCAGAGTACAGCGAGAATGGCAAGCAGACAGGATCCACGTCGTCGTAGCGACAATCGCGTTCGGCATGGGTATTGACAAGCCTGACGTTCGCTTTGTTATTCACCATTCGATTCCCAAGAGCTTGGAAGGCTACTACCAAGAAACAGGGCGCGCGGGCAGAGACGGCAATCCTTCGGACTGCATTTTATACTTTGGCTATCAGGATGTTGCCACCTTGAAGAAGATGATTTCTCAGGGTGAAGGAAGCCATGCGCAGAAAGAACGGCAAAGAATAATGCTCAATCGAGTCACTGCGTTCTGCGACAACCGAGAAGACTGTCGCCGCGTTGAGATCCTCCGCTACTTTGGCGAACATTTCGACTCTCAAGAGTGTGACAAGACCTGCGACAACTGTCGAGTCGGTGCTGTCTTTGAGCAGCAAGACTTCTCTGAACTTGCCGTCGGAGCAATACAGACCATCCAGCTCCACGAACGCCTGACTATAAATCAGTGCAGTGAGATACTGATGGGCAAAAAGTACCAAAAGACCATAGACCCGCATCCTGACGATCCCCATGGCATTGCAAAGGGGATGAAGAAGCATGAACTCGAACGCATCATTGATAGACTTACAGCTGAGGAGGCCCTAGAGGAGGAGAACGTGGTGAACAAGAGGGCCGGTATTGCGATCCAGTATCTCATCGTAAGTTCCACTGCTGCTTATATCCGGCTACATTCAGTAATTCTAAAACGTTCTTAGCCTGGTCGCAACGCCCACATGTTTCTCAATGGCCGCCGCAAACTATTATTATCAGTCCAGGTTTCTGATAGGAATAGGGAACCATTGGCACCAAAACCCAAAAAGCGGACCCCAAAGAGCAAGAACAATGAAGAGCAGGACCTAGGGGAAGAACCGCCGAGAAGACGCCTGCCACCTTCGACCAACGTGTCTTCGCCGGCGCAAGCTCGAAGAACACAAGACAAGAGCTCAAAGGGTAAGTCCCTTGCCACTGTCATCGATTCCGATGAGGAAGATGAGGTGCTTAGGCAAGAGATGGAAGAGCAAAGTCTGTCACTGCACGCAAATGGCTACATCAAGGATGGCTTTGTCATGTCGGATGACGAGTCCGATGATGGTTTTGAGCCACTGCCTCCCCCTCCTAAACGTGGGAATGCTTCCAAGGTGGTTGGGCCCCGTATCGCGGAGGACATGCGCTTGGGAGCACTTGGCGATCTGCACCAAGACGTCGTCCACAATTTCGTTCAAGAGGCCAAGCAGCTCGAGGAGTCTTTGCGGAACGATCAGGGACTACGAAAACCTCTCTTTTCCGAGAAGAGTTTTCAAGAAATGGCCATTCGATGGACAGACACCCTCCCTCTAATGCGTCAAATTCCGGGCATCGAGCCAGAAAAGGTGGCCAAGTTTGGCAACAAATTTATTCCCCTGATCAAACGCTTTCATAGTAACTACAAGGCAATGCTCAGCTCTGCGGACGATGATGAAGATATGGAAGTTGGTGAGCAGAGTATCGTCGACTTGATCAGCTCCGATGAGGATGAGGATATGGATGACGAGGAAGAGGAAGAGGAAGAGGAATCTTCGAAGTATTTTAGTAGCGGACCGCCTCCCCTCGCACCTTCTGTTCAGGAGTGGAATGAGAGGATGAAGGAACTAGATACAGCGCCTCCGACCCGAGCCTCATCGTCAACTTCGACGAGGGGGCGTGGTGGTGCTCGAGGGGGTCGGAAATCAGGGGGCCGCAAGGGCTCCAGCTCATGGGCAAGCAAGAAGCAAGGAGGCGGCGTCACCAAGAAGAAGGCTTCCGGCGGAGCAAACAGAAGAAGCAGCGGTGGAAACACAGCTTCGAGAAACAGCTCCGTGACCAGCTACTTCTCCAAGGGCGGGAGGAGAGGTGGCGGCGGTGGCGGCGGTGGCGGTAGCGGAATCGGGCTAATGCCACATTAAGGGGTCGATGAGAAGAGCTCACGTGTGAGATGTGCATCAGTATGGAATTGAACACACTGAATGGGAAACGACGGACGAGAAGGACACAAGATATTGCAGAGAGTAAGGACCATGAGTCACATGCTCCACTGCATCTGATACCTACGTATTCATGAGACGAGAGGGAAACGGCTGGGACAGGTTGGGGGAGAAGAAGTTTTATACCATTCATATCTTATGGCAGGGGATAAAGCAAGTGTTTCCACATGATACTGGTTTAACTGGCAGGCGTCGACCGGTCAACAAGCATTTTCTCAGGCGCAGCATAGGTAGAATTTGGCATTTTAATGTTGACCATGAATGATTAAGACATATGCTCCTCTGTCGTACTTGAGACCATATACCCCGCTTTCCACAGCTATTTGGAAAGATTGATTTTCGTGTTGATATCATCTTATGGCATGAACATGATGCATACTAGCATTGGAGCGATAATGAGATGTATATTTCACTCAATCTTAACTCAACCGTGGGGACACGCGAGCAACTTGGCCTCGAAAATACGAATTATCAATTTGCGTCTTTTCGCGCAGCTATCTAAACTTTCCCTCCACGCAACGTCTCCTGCCCTGCGGCCCATCCTACCATTCCCGTGGAATATCAGTGTCATGAGGGGTATAAAGTCCGTTCGCGAGGTCCAATCCGTTCCATTGCAATACAAGTTTCCATTGCAATACAAGTGGTGTCTTTTGTTTTGTTTGTTTTTGAGGGTATAGCCTCGCGTTCGTCGGAGCGCGACTTGGGGTTTCCGTTGCAGTCCATCTTGACGGCGACGGCTCACGATAATCTTGGACCTTCCCAAATTCGCCCGAAACCAGACTCCATATTCCCCCTCCTGGTATAGTACTCAAAAGACCGTTAGGCAGGTATCTTCCTGCCCAAGAGTGAAAATAACCAAACGCCCCTCGACGGATCCTAATCCGACGCCTCGCCATAAAGCAAATAAAGTAGGATCAATCAATGGCACTGCCGTGAAAGAGGGTATTCGAATATGTACAAAATTCAATATCGTGCTGTAATGACAACACAGCTGAGGCAAGGCAAGTCAAGAAAGACCCAAGCCGTGTCTGCCATTTCTGCCATTGATGCCTCGTCAAGTCCGCCAGCGGGGTTTGTCTCTTACCTCAGCGACTGACTCGTTTTGCTGCGTTATTGTTGCCAACGGAGAACTAAATACTCTCCTCTGCCTGGATAAAAGAGACTCCTAGCCCCTCCATCGAGGCTTCTGGCTGGAGGTGCTTTTAGACAGCTCTGGAAGAGTCTTGCGTGTAGTATTTCGCGAGACAGATCGTGTTGGAGGGGTTTCCATGCCACCGGTCGTACTGCTTGCCTTGAGCTGTGGCAGTTGGCTAGTTCGACGTGTCGATGCCAACGAGCTTGCAGGACGGCTTGGTACAGCTCGGTCGGCAAATGAGTGAAGTTTGGGTGGTTGCAAAGAGGCACGTCGGCTTGACGAAGACTCAAGACCAGACGTAGAGACAGATGAAGACAAACGTGGCTTAGAGAGTGTCTGCTGAGAGTACGGGCCAGGTGAGGCTAGGCGCTCTCGGAAAGACAACTTCGATGGGGCTCTCTTCGTGGGCGTGTCCTCGGGCATGGGTGACGCGGATGACTCTCGGTTTAGGGGGCTCCGAAGGGTTGGCAACCTCGTACCGCCGGGCGATGAGGAACGCGGGGTCAAGGAAGATGATGGCCGCGGGCCTGGCGATGTCTTCTTGGCATAGGGGCTAGGACAGGTGAGGGTCAGTGGCTTGAAGTTGTGGCCAATTCCAACATCCATGGTGTTTGTCGAACCATTCCACCTAGGCCGGTTCGGTTGCGTTGAAGCAGGTCTGGGGATATTGCCCGCAGATGGGGTACCGAGCCTCGAAGTCATGTTCGACAGTCGAGGTACCAAGGGCTTGCGAGGCAGCTGAGAGGAAGGTGTTGGCAGTGACGACTGTCGTCTTCCTGATGGCTGCGGCAAGTGACTGTTGGTGCTTACAGAGCGGTTCTTGGCCATTTTGTTCCTGGGAGTGACTGGTTCTAATCCGAGACTCGACATAATTACCGAGGAAGGAGGAGAGCTGCCGGGGGTATCGCGGCCACTACCAATTGTCGAGCGGTCATTTGACAGCATGCTGGAGATAGAATCCCTCAGTTGCTGGCCTCTGGTGTCTACTTGCACTTCGTCCACGACCACGTCCATTTCTCTCATCTCGTCCTTGATCGATTCCCATTTCGACTGCATCTCGGCATGCAAACGAAGAATCTCGCCATTGACAGTAAGCCGGTCCTTAACGCCCTTGTCGATGATGGCCAAGACTCGCTCGATAGCTGGGCCATAATGCGTCTTCTTGGCGTCGTAACTCTCGATCTTCTTGATCATTGTCGGTGGACTGCTCAGATGCATGCCTGTGTCGACAGCTTCCCTTAGCTTGATCATCGACCTTTCTACCGACTCGATCATCTTCTGGGCCTGTCGTCCTGCTCCGCGGAAAACAATGACCCAGCGATCCTCACCCAACTCCTTACGCAGTGATTCGGCATCCTTTTCCAGCTTTTTGTAACTGCCATCGAGACCGGTGCGTCGCATATCCAATTCCTCACAAGCAGTTGGGAAGGATTTCTCGGCTCGGGCAGCGAACACGGCGAGTCGCATAGGAAGGAAGTCCAGCGATGCGCGCAGGGGTTGCATCCGTGCGAAAAGGGCCAGGAGACTTGAATCATCTTGTGACAAGGTGGGTGTAGGCGTTCCTGGGGACGTTGACCCAGGACTGAGCGGAAGACCAGGGAGGCTGAAGCGGTTTTGCGCCTGCATCCTGGCAACGGGGGGAGGAGTATCCTCCACAATATTCTCAAGGTCTCCGATATCGACGCCATCGCCGCCTGCGGCAGCCATCAAAGACTTGTGACGTCGTTCTTCCATCTCGAAGACCAGACGGCTCAATTCGTCCATTTCGCTTTGGATATCTCCCAACACACTATTCCATAGTTCTTCCCACTCCATCGCAAGTTCGACTTGCCCTTTGACAGTGTTCAGTGCTGCTTTGATGTTGGCCCATTCTTCGATGATGGACTCCATTTGGGAGACAGCCCGATGAAGATCCTCAGGAGGAACGTCGGCAATGTCTTCGCGACCTTGCAGTTCCTCGATCGCACCAACGTATACTTTGATCAATTTCTCGAAACGATGTATGGCGTTTTCGACTTCTTCGTACCCTTCGCGACCTCCTGCCGCGGCCCACTCAACGTCATCGTCGCTGTCCAACCCTCCAATAACCTCTGATGCCTTGTAGATCCAACTTCTGATTTGCTCTGCGGCGTTGATCAAGGCTTTCGATGCGACTTGCGCTGTCGGAATAGCGGAAACCTTGCTGGACAAGGACTCCGCATCGGGAAGTTGAAGTGATGTTAGTTGAGCTAGCTGATTGGCGAAGGATGCACGGGAAAGCGTGTAAATGGAACCGGGTCGCTGGTGACCGGGAGTGAAGTACGAGGCCAGATCAGGTGTGAACTCAACCGCTGGTACCGGTGGTGTATCTTTCGGAGGAGGTGGAGGCGGTTGATCCGAGGCGGGAAGGGCACCATTTCGTTCGAGATGCTCTCGTCGAGTCTCAAGTTGTACCTTGGTACCATTCCCATTGGTGTGGTCAGGCAGACGGTATTTGTGTGTCTCCATGTCCAAGGGCGCAGTTGTTATGATCTCGGGTAGGACGAGAGACGCGCCCGGGGCAACGTCTGGCGAGGATGACAATATCCAAGTGTTGGGGTCTTCTCTCGAAGCAGTGGAAGATGCAGTCTGTGGTCTCGAGTCGTCGGATGATGTGAAGCCCTTCCAAGGGCGACCGCGTCGATTGATTTTCGATTCAACGGAACTCGCCTTATGATTCTCGTCGATTAAGCGGATCTGGTCTTCGGGCAAGCGGCCAATGTGGTCTTGTTGAGCAAGAAGTTGGTCTGTTGACTTCTTGTGCGAGGTAAAGCCAAGCGCTTTCAATCGGGCGGCGAGGTTGGGTGAGGGTTTGCGAGTTTGTTTTGCCTTATTTGTCGTAGGGGAGCCGACCGGTGTGGTATTTGCTGATTTTAAGTTTGCTGTGCTATCGCTTGTCGGGCGTGACGACGATTTGTTTTCGGTGGTGTCGATGGTGTTGTTGTTTACAATCTGGGACTGCGGGTTTAGCTGGAAAAGATGCGGGCTGGAGACGTCAGAGAAGCCAAGGTCCAAGTGGTTTGCTGTAGTAGTGGCCTCCGGGGCCTGCGCCTGGTCCTCCGCGTGCAGCGGGCGCTGTGGTTGGTGGCTGGAACACGAGTCTCCAGAGGAAACAACGGCACCAGCAATTGTATTTGTGTTATTGCAGCTGGCCTCTGCCTCTGCCTCTGCAACCGATGCTTCCGTGACGGACATTTGTTCTGAGTGTTTCGTGGGCAAACCTTGAATTGAGGTGACGGCTTTTTCGTGCTTGTCTGTCCTTGAACGCTACGCAGCAGGCCCGGCGTGCCTCTGTAGAGACAATCGCCTCTTGCAGCTTGCTGTGATTCAACGCGGTACGTGGCCAGTCAGAGACGGATGACAACGACTGAGCTGGCGCGTGGGTAGGCTGGGTCCGGTGGTCCTGAGCTCGAGTGATAACTGGGTCAAGCAGACTGATCCTCGCCGGGTTCAGTTGTATGGTCGGCGGGTTGTCGAATGAGGAGGATCGATGAGCGGCGCTGGAATGCTGGGATTGCTGGATGCCTGGGCGAACTCGTCAAGCGCACTGTTGTCAGTGCCTTAGTCGGTGGGGTTCGGCGACAAGGGACTCTGGGGGAGCCGGCGAACGGGAATGCAGTCGTTATTGGAGGGAAAAGGGCATACGCCCAGGTGTGTGACAGAATGATTTGCCGCTCAAACCACCGTCGCGTACAGGTAAATATTTCTATCACTACTCTTCTTTATTCCACAGTACTTAACTCTCTATCATGCGTATATTCTTTGAAGA